AAGCATTTAAAAACAATGATGTGTGCATAAATTGGCGGAAAAGAGTGTGTATTATGTCAGATATAAATTGTGGAATTCTAAGAAACAAGAATATGCAGCCAGATTTTTTTTTATTATTATTATTAATATTATTTTTTTTAGTTCCCAGTAGCTTCAAGTTTTGTATTGTTTCGGTACATTAAAGGAGAGTCTGATGTTAAGCTTAGTAAGATCTACCTATTCAACATTTTCGTCCACGGTGACGCCAAACCACCCTTAAAAGGAATCATTCAGGCTATATTTGTGTATCATTTACTTTTTCTTTTACTTTCTTGACCAAACTAACCCGATAGATCTCGGATGTTGACCACGTAATTTTAAGTTTTTGTTTGAGGCAAAATGTTATTGCAAATTAACCAAACTTTCCACTCTTTGAAGAACCCTCTGTTGGGTGGTTTGGGCCCTCCGTATTATGTTCTTTTACAATTATACACTGAACAATTAAGCTACAGTCTATTACCTCCTCCATCATCAGACTGATCGCAATAAACGGGAAATGACTCCGGTCCGTGATTCGTAATGTGGTATATCCCAGTCACTTTTAAAACATCCTTGCAGTCAGCTAATTCTGTGAAATGGTATCAGAGTTAAATGTAAGAAGGTGATTATATGAAACGACTCAAGGGGAACTCTTAACTAAGATTCAAGAATCCTACCAGCACAATCCACGCCATCTCCTGTGTATCCAGATTTGCAATGGCATTTAAAAGAGCCAGATAAATTAGAACAGTCAGCATTAGATGAACAGTTATTATGTTTAGACGAGCTGCATTCATCAACATTTTTAAACAAAGGAAAAAATATATATTACTTCTATAGTTGAGTTCGAAAAGGTCAGTATTTTCAGTTTATCAGTAGACATGTGCAGAATAAATCGTTCTGTCTCGATATCTCTTTGTTCTTCAATTCGTTCATTCATTCACTTATTTAACTATTCCTCTCTTCCTCTATTAATCGATTTATTTGTTTTATACTCATTTACCCAATTCACAATTGTCGCCAAGATAACCGCGTGGACACAAACAGCGAAACCCTTGCTTGCCAAATCCTGTTTGACAAGTTGAGTTGCTTGAGCAAGGATTACTGGTACAAAAGTTCTGAAAAAGAAAAAAAAAAAAGAAAAAGAAAAGATAAGATAAAAAATAATAATAATTTGCAAGCGGTATCAGTGTCATCAACGCTTTTGAGTTTATGATTCAAAATAAAGAGAGTCTAAGTTAATTTCAAGGAAGCAGGTTCCTCATTAATGAATAACACAAGCTTAATTTGCCACTTACTATTGATATTGCATGATATATAAACCCGTCTTTTGTCACCAGTTCACTCGAAGGCACTTCCATGTGCTCTCTGTCATTCAGCTCACACAGAAACAGTCCATCGTCCATTGTACCGTGATTATAGGACACGCACCCCAGTTCTAAAAAGCAATTTACCTCGCACATCTCCTCGTTAATTCCCCGGTAGCTTTTGAAGACGTAATTGGTTAAAACCTTGTTTTCTATTCGCTCTTGATAGCGAACAGCCCGACAACTTCCATCTAGAAAAAAACATAGTAACATATATTGGCTTTTTTGTAAATTATCAAACTTGTATTGGGCTAAGTCCACCAGTTTACTTAAGTTTCCTTTTTTGTGAATTTATCCGGACGTAGTGCTGAAATCATTGTCTCGAAATATATGAGGAAAACGTATAGACCCTCTACCCTGAAGACGTTGCTGACCTGTCTCCCTGGGACAATCCTTTGAGTTTTGATGGGAGGGGGGTGGTCATTTCATATACTATACAAGGAAAATGGTATATGGTTACCATCAATTGCACCAGATATGGAAAAAAAAAATGAACCCATTGACAAGAAAACATGGTTATTATATTTTTAACTGGCCCTGAGTGGACAATACTTTCCCCTCCCTCCCTCCCTCCCCCCCCCAAAAAAACAGGAAAAAACGCTCAGCCCCTCCCCTCTCCCCCACCTATAAAAAAAATAAGATGATAGTAAAAAGTTACCACTTTGATCTAAAAAAGAAATTCCGAAAATTATCATCGTTTTACATTTTAGAAAGGGAATTTCGAAATATTCCTAGATGGGGGTAATTTTCTTGTCTTAAAACTCGCAAATCAAATAAAGTTTTTGTTTTGTCTGATATCGAAATAATTAATATTAATCATCCTACTTTATATTCATTTGCAAACAAAATAATTGGCTAGTCGTTACGGCTTCTAGTTGAGAAGATCGGCAGCAGTTGTTTTTGTGAGTAACAAATTTTTGTCTTCTTGAAATTTTCATGCATCAGTCGGATTGTTCGGCGATAACAAAAGTGCATAATTTTTCACTGTTGAGCCGTACTCGATAATTAACTTGTTTTGTAAAGGATGGACAAACGTTAAAAACGGAGAACACTTTATACAAATTTGATATTTCCCGACGTGTTTTTTTTTTCCAGCTGAATGTCAGTCTTGAAGGCAGGCTTTTCGACGATTCAGGCTCTGTTATTTGCGAAAGATCTTCACCGCTTTTGCTTTTGAGTGGCTAGAACCTAAATTCAAAAAATGCTAGACACTTTTTCATTATTGCCGTCGATTTTTGGGTACTTAATTCTTAGGAAAAGAGACAAAAAAACGCAAATGAACAAGTCAGCGGGGAAAAATCTCTTTTAGCGGCTGAATAGGACTTGTATAGGGCAAAGCACAAACGCTATGTTTTTAACCATGTATTTTTTCAGCATTTATTGAATGAAAATAACTATTGTTGGTTTTCACCTGACGTCACTAAAATTCAAACCACAAAACTATCGATCCTACTGAGATTTATTTCCATGGTGTACTAGAGCAGCTGAAAACTAATTTTCAAACAAATTCTCGCTTCAAGAGGGTTCTTGGTTTTGTAATAGAGTACGCTTGAATTTCTAAGCTTTTGCGTGACGCAGCATTTACATGACGGCCGAGAGAGCCGTCATTTAGGATAGAAAAGTGACTTTTTTCGAGGAATTTTTCTATCTAATCAGTTCAAGTATTAGAAAAGTATTACTTTAATGTTTATGAGTTGCTCTAGGAGTAAATTCACGCTTTTGTAGCAAAACGCGGTAACAGATGTTTTTGTTGGTTTTCGTCCGCCATGTTGGAGCTCATCCGGATGAGCTCCAGCATGGCTTCTCCATACAAAGCTCTATAAATTTGGGTAAAACATTTCCTCGGATGTCTCGTATACGAATTATTCCTTCGACCCAAATCTTGGCGAGGGTCTTTGTTTATTTACCTCCTTTCATTTCCCAGATTCTGGACTATATCTGTCTAATGGTTTTGATTTTTATTTTGATCTATTTTGAATGGCTTGACACTGAAAACCAGCAATAAAAGTATGGAATTTGATCTAATCTATCCTAACTATAACAAACAAAAAAGAAAGACAAAAAATAAAACAACAACAAACAAACAAATAACATGGTTAACAACGACGGAAGTCCAGCCGTATTTGCATGGTTCTCGGTTCGATGTAGAAAAAAACGACAAATATATACGTGATACGAAATATCACACCTAGCTGCAGACAGAATCAGGCTACATTATGTTAAACTAGCACGCATTTCAGCTTTTTCATTCTTACCTCCATTTACAAAATAGGTTATACCAACATACGCAAGAATTATCCACTGACAGATAAGAGTGCAGACCATGTTTAAAAGACGAGGGGGACAAAGAATGAGTGAGTAAGCCTTTGGTTATCCAAGGCTTTGCCAACCTCTGTGTCGACTCGATTAAATAAAGGAATCACTGAGTAAGATAATAACAAACGTTAATTAACTTATGTATCCTTCTTTAAGCCCGCGCCGCAAGATGCGAGCATTATTTTTAATTATTAATTTGTTTGTCAGTTTACAATGTTGTTAAAGCGTTCTAATAAACATCCAAGTATAAAGCATAGCTAATATACATTTATAGGGATGCTGTAGTGTGAGATACTAGGAACCTGCTGTTTAGTGACATACAGCTTTATCTTTCTCTTGCAAAAACAACAACAACAACAACAAAATACTTTAAAAAAAAAAAATGTATCACGAGCGGTTTTTATCGCTGGAAGCATTAAAAAGCCTACTATCAAAATCGCGAGGGTTCATGTTTCTTTTATTTAAAACATGTTCCTTATCAATTTTGAGTTGTTATTTTAGAGCGCGCAAACAACGAAACGCACGCAATCGTTATACTGCACGTAATCGATATCCTGCTTTGAAAAACCTAGCCAGGTGGTTAACTTATATTCGAGAGAAATAATAGCAGAAAACTATCATTTAGTTTCAGGGTTTCCAGAGTTTAAAAGTACCAAAAACTCACGGCGAATTCTGCGTCTTTTGTTGTATATAGACGGGAAACGATTTGTATTCCAGTGTATGATAAACATAGCTCCACTGTGGACAATTTGCTCAAGTTTATTTGTACCTGATTCAAAGAAACGTTGTCTCTAAAAAGTATAATGAGGCTTCAAGGATTTAGGGGCATTTGTTCATTAACAAAGCAAATTCAAAGTTCTTTTGACAAAAGTCTACATTGTCACGAGAGGCTCGTGCGGGTACAATTATCCCTGGAGTAGTTTCAGGCATGCCATTGTCTTTTCAGTTTCTTTTAGGCTTTTAGGTCCTGTCTTATGATTTTCAAGTGTGCGTTAGCGAAATGGCTACGCTCTTTACCTTAAACATCTCTTATGTGTTCAGCACAGGAGAAGTTTTGAGCTTATCGCCTTGAAAACTGGAAAACATTTGACGTTTTTTGGGAATGCATCGTCGCCAAAGGTTCGATAATTTAAACATTTCTGAAAAGAACTTTAAATTTACAATGATACTAATAAAGTTCTACCGATAAGTCTATCAGGTCCAATCGTTCATGTTTTTTTTTGTTGTTGTTGCTGTTTTTTTTTTCGAGCGACAACGTCTTTCCAATCAGGTGTACACACGTTACGATCATACAATGCATAATAAGACACGCATCTCACATAAGGGGTAACGAATTATTATTATTATTGTTATTATTATCATTATTATTATTTTATTTTTTTCATCTGTACATTTCTCAATTTCTAAGGACCATCGCGTGATGTGTACGTTGGTGTCTAACAATAATAGTTAGACAATCAAATAATACTACGGGCTCTCTGATTGGCAGTTGCCTATAATGTATTACCAATAATACGGATGAAGGGTCAGAAAAAGATGTCTTCCTCCTTTTGTGCAACATAGCGCTTGCAATTTGAACATTGTCGGCGTATTTGATATTGTTAAGCAGGAGCTGTTTACGACTAAATCAAGAAGCAAAAAGTGCCTTTTGGTGACTTTAAAAATGAACTCTAATCTGGAACACCTTCAATGTTACGAGGCAATGTTATGCATGCATTACCTCTTGTTGCAAATGGTGTCCCATTCCATTCTGCATAATTAATTGTATGTTTAATAATACAATAGAGACATAGTTAATTAAAGAGGAATGGTTGGGAAACCCTTTGTTATAAGTTTTTGTTAGCTGTTTTGGACCTGACCGTGCACTACGTTCAATTGCGTTCCTATCACTTTGAAGTTATTGACCAATAGAAACATTGCATTAATTTATTCAGTCATAATTTGTGAACAGAAAACAAAGGATTGTGCACGGTCAGGGAGCTTCCAACATAAACTACAGCACCATTGTTTTCAACTTTGATGTTTGCCGGATTTCCTAACCGGTCTCCTCTAATAACTATAAAGACAGACGATGGACTGCGTTTAGAAAAGCGTTAACCAGAGGCCCATAGCCCGGAACCAGTAACTCCCATGCCTAGCCTGCGTAGCAGGCGTCAAAATGGGTGGAGGAGAACCAATGTCACGGCGTTTCTACGGACCAGTTTATATTTCGACACATTTTATGGTAATTGCACCTCGGAAATAGAATCTCCACTACGTCTATGAACGCATTAGAAGTATAAGATATCAGAAAAAAGAACGTAACGTCATTAAAAGGCAAAAATTAGGTGTGTAGGTTTTGCCGACTGGTTAGTGGGACTTTTAAGATATTCTAAATTCGCGCCAAAACCGTGCTAAAAATAAAATGGTCCGTGAAAACTCCTTGACACGAGTACGTTAAAGTTGCTCGCTCCAGATTATGGGCTCCTGGAAGCCCATTGCCATGGCAAGGGCGAAACAGCGGTTATTGCTAAAACCTCGTCAAATCTTCGTTCTTTCTTAAATTTTAAAAGTAACGTAAATAAAGACGAAGACAACATTTTAGCAGGACGATTTAGATTAACGATAATTCTGTTGTCTTTGGTATCCTGTTGCACGCGAGCCTGAGACCAGAGCATTGCTAAGTCCGTTTTAAGATTTCAAAAGCTTTTTCTAGCCTTTGTTGTCTTATAACGGTTTATATCTTCTTCCTCTCCTGTTGACACACATTTTGCCCATCAATTCTGTTCAGCGAATGTACACTATCATGGCATCAGCAATCCCAACGTTACCTGCAGGAATTTTATCATGGGTTAAAAATTGATTTATTTTTTAAAGGGTTAAGAAGGTTAAGGTTTGTTATCCGGCTATTTTAAAGAAACTCCACTCAGATTGTTAGAAAGAAATTATCCACTGATAGAACATAACAGGATTTTAAAACCGGCAACTGGTAGGAATTGCCCATTAGGCTATTTACTTAAAGATTTTGAACTCGGAAAGCCAAGACCAAATCCAAGTGGCTAAAGCGGGACTCAAACCGGGGGCCGCCGGATTGCGAGTCGAAAAACAACCCAATATTACCAATGGGAGTATACGTAAGAATCCAATAATCGAACATTTTACATAACATTCACCTAAGGAACTGATTCTCAATTCGTTAGTTTTACGTAATACTAACATGAATACATAATAGGGTGAATAGTTAAAACACATTAAAAAACGAAAAAGAATAGAAAGAAATTGTAGTATAACAGGTTTTACTTACAACGAACTTGGCCTTTATCGCGCAAAATATATATAGATCTGTGTGGGTTTCATACAAGGTGCATGTGCTCAGACCCCAGACAGCCAAGTCCAAGGAGCACCCCTAAGCTCTGCTAGTAGCATTATGATTATGAGTCACAGCATTGATTTGGCTGGGCTACCCCACAGGAAAAATTCCTTGACGCGCAGCGGAGCACCATGGGTAAGAAAATGTGGTAAACTACCCATCCGAGAAAATTTGGTAATCACGTAACCGTACACCTACCGACCGTCCGTCCGCACCACAGGCATACCTATGTAAAATAACTGATTCAACAGGTATGGCAACCCAAATGTAACTCGAGGTTATTTTGACCAGAAATCGCATAGCCACCCGCGTTTTGTGAAGTAGAGACAACTAAAGAGTCAATAAAGACGAAAACGGAAAGCGAAAATTGTTGCTGTATCCGTGTCTTCTAAAGTATTAACCTTAGATTAATTGTCATGTCCACAAATTTGGAATATAGAGCAAGAGAAAGACAGAGAAAAAGAGAAAGTGGGTGGCAGACCAGCGAAGCTCAACGAGATAAGGGGCGACAGAGATCTAGAGCGAGAGATTACAAACAAAGGAGACATTTTTTTGTTGGAAGAACAACATGACAATTTTGTAGCGGTGGTGGCAAATGAGAAATGTTAGCGGCCACTAATGCAAGGTGAAAGTGAGCGGCAGTGAAAAAAAAAAGTGAACAAGAAAACGTAGGACATTTCAGTCCATAAAACGTGTAATTAAGAAGTTTCTGGAAGTTTCACGTTGCAGTCGTGCAAAAGAACGGCAAAGAAATGTACAAAAAAAGTCCGCGGCACGTGCAAAGTTCCGTTTTTGCTAATTAGACCTATTGTTGTTTTTCACCGTTCTCCGGCGTTGCCTTCGCCGTTTAGCATTACACGATTTTAAATTTTGTTTGAACAAAATATAAATATTATCGAGAGCTTCGCTTTTAGTCCTGGCTAAATAACAATTATTCACCGACGTGGAGGTGGCTAGTAGTAGTAATTTACCGAGGCCGCGAAGCGGCGAAGTAAATATCCACTACTAGCCACCGACACGGAGGTGAATAATTGTTTTAGTATATACTAAAACAGTGAGATAATTGAGCACAAAAACGATGATTTTTAACTCATTTACTGTTGCCAACAATACAATTTTTGCGCGCGATGACCGAACAGCCGCGGTCGTCTCTTTTTCTTGGCGACAAAGAAAACTTTTGAAGGCGTTTTTTTAGCTCTTACGGGGAAGTTTCTTTAAAAAGGAGTTGAAAATTCTTTTTGCATTTAAAATCATTCTGTAAAAAAGATTATGAAATTTAGTTTTAAGCTTATTTATGAACAAGTCAACTAAATAAAGTAACGCAAGACTTACGCTTAATTTGCATTTGTAACCAAAAAACTTTTTCACCGGTTTTATCGATAAATTAAAGTCAAAAAGACAAAGCTTTGCCTATTAAAACCTCCAAACCGAACTTCGTCACCTTCTTCATGTATTTTGGGAATAGCTTGCTTGAATAGTTGTGAAATTTCTTAGTTTGTTACGGCAGCAAACCGGGAAGGCATTTTGCTTGCAACTTACGCGAGTTCGGCGTCGCTCGCTCGGAGGAACTGGAGGTGAATCAGTGAATAGTGCAGGATATTTACTGATTGAGTAGCCAATCAGAGCGTGAGAAAAAGACTATCCAAATCGCACACTATTTAAGCAATAGAAAACGTTTTCTGTGTTTGCATAGCCCGATATAAACACGAGAGGGGTTGGGAGAATTCGAGACAGTTATGCAAACCCGAGACGAAGTCGAGGGTTTGCATAACTGTCGCGAATTCTCCCAACCCCTCGAGTGTTTATATCAGGCTATGCAAACACAGTAAAAAAGTTTTCTATTGCTTTTATGAAATAACTTTCCCGAGAAAAAAACGCAAAACTCTTTGTATGGCACTGATTAAAAGCGAAATTCTTACCAGTCGCAAAGTCTTGTCCACGAAGTCTTGCACGCGTAATCAGTTCTTGTTTTCCAAAAGATGCTTTCCAAAATTCGAATTTTTCTCGCTTAAAAATGTTAGCTCAAGAGAGGAAAAATTGACACACCTTCTTTGTAACGATTTTCCAAGTCTCAGCCGACGAAGGAATGGGTAAATAAAGTAAACTTGTCGAGTTTTTCTACTCGAAAACATTTTCAAATTCGTGCTTGCGTAATTAGCGCGCGAAAAGCAAAACGTCTTGACGGCACAACCATGTTTACATACTCCCATGCAAACACTCCTCTCGGCCAGTCAGAGCGCGCATACTATCTTAGTTATTTTATAAATACTTGCAATTTAACGTACCGTAGTCGTTCCAGTTCACAGACGTGTTTAGCTTACTTTATATAATGCTTGGAATAGGAATTCTATCCTCCCAGTTGCAGTAAGGATGTGTCGTAATCAAAAACCAACCACTGTCGTTTTCGCACCCGGCATAGGGGCCACTGATCTCGAAGTATCGAAGCTTTCCAGGAATGGAAAATTCGTATATGTTTGTCGCAGTTTTAAGATCATTCCATTGTGATTGAAGAAGCCTATTTTGTGAAAACCAATTCACGTTGTTTGTTGCAGAAGCGTTGAATTTAAGAAAGGCGACCTCAATTCCGCTAGCGTATAGCACTACTCGAGCCTGAAAGCAAAAAACACAAGCAATTAATATTCATTTAAAAAGATAATATCTCCTCAGATGGTGAATCTCAAAATTCCGGATATGGATTTGATCTAAAGATCCACCCAGAGTTTGACTTTTGGATTTGCCAAACCTGCGAAAGCCGCCGGATTTCGTATTCGGAAATCAGGATTTGTCTCCCGAAAAAGTGCACCTCTAATAATCCAAACCTCAATCTACTAAATGTCGCTAAAAACTGTAGCTGAGCGGACGTACGATCTCATCTTGCTATCCTCATGTCATCATCATCGTCGTCGTCATCACTGCATCATCGTCGTGGTCATCATCATCATCATCATCATCATCAACATCATCATCATCGTCGTCATCATCATCATCATTATGAGTAATTTATGCATCAGTCAATTCCAGCTGCGTTTTTTGCTTAGCGAATCAAATTTCTGTCGATATTTTTTGACGCACATCCTTTCATATTTATAACCTATTCATAACATATAACTTAACAGCGCTCTATTAATTTTAATGTCAATAATTTTATATTAATACCAAAACCATAAACTGGTGCATGTCGTCGCGGCGTGAAGTCTTTATTAGAATCCTAGCGTTATTACAAAGGAAGACGTTACTTGAAACAAAAAATGGCACATTAAAATGTTTAAAACGGCGAGTGCAATCAATGAAAAATGTTGCAGCGTTGACGGAGGACGGGGGATTTGCCTTCTTTTTTCGTCCCCACCCCGGGGGATTTGACAGCTCAAGAGTCTGCAAGGCTATCAAATGACATCTGAATTCTAAAAAAACGTTTCGTCACATTAATAATCACGAATTATTAAAAATGATCTGACAGTCTTTGATTCCCTCAGAACGTACCTCTTTTGGATCAAAAGTTTCCCACTTTTTCACAATACTGTTTATGTAATGTTGACGATGTGTTGCAGTTACATCCAATGCGTCTTCAGAGTGAGAACTTGAATTTGCTGACCATAAAGAGGATACCTCAGTAGAAGGAGAAACACCATCGACAAATTTGAATACCATTGTCCAGCCTTAAAAGCAAATGAAAGTAATGGTGTTACTAAACGCACTGGCGTGTGCAAGTCCAGATTTGTTATCTTGTTTTTATCTTCCTAGCTTTTAAGGTCACCCCCCTTTAAAGATCCAAAACGTAATGTTCAAGCTACACAGTCATATGACTGCCAAACATAGTGACGTTTCCTAAAATTAATCTGAGAATATTTTTAAGACTTAGTGACGTGTACTTCGACATGGATATTAAAATGGCAGCGAAGACTTGAATTGCTTTTTTCTATACAAAAAAGTTCAATGTATTTTTGTTTTTAGCCTCATATCACACTTAATTCAGCATTATTTGCATCAAAGTTATCATAACAGTTGGTATTATCTGTTACCAGCCTTTATAGTGACTAATTAAACAAAAAGCGAATTATGGGTTCATTTCCTTGGCGAGGTTCATTTATCTCGGAGATACAAAACTTGCAGATTGCGTTTACTTTCTAAGCATCCTTTTATACACAAATTAAATTTTGTGTCACAAATTTCGTTAATTTAAACGAGTTTAAAGTAAAATGGAATTCGTTTGACCCCATTCAAATCGACGGAGGCTTTGAGGCTTTCGTAGCTAAAAAGTCCAATACCTTCAAAATAGAACAGGCTATGACTACAGAACTTTGAAATTACTTTTTGCTGAAAATTACTGAAATGTTTTACTGAAAATTATCTGGAAACATTTTAAAGTCGTTGCAAGGTGTACGTCAACATTGACTTTATCATGGCAACCTAGTTTTGAAAGCCACATGTTTTGCAAAATTTTCATTAAAAAAAAAAAGTTTATTTCTATTTTTATTACGTTTGATTTAGCATCATTTTCTCTCAATTATTTAAACTTTAAATGAAATGCAGATTTTGTAGTGACTAGCTTGAAGAAAAAAAAAAAAACAAATAGCAGACGCTGGGTTTAATTTTTATCAGTATTTATTTTCCTCGGATCTCATACTTTGCAGATGTGTTTGCCTTTTTTAGCATCAAATTCACTCAAAAAAATTTTCTTTTACGATTACATCAATCTATACGAATTTTAAGTACATTTTGGAGGCGGTAGCATTCAGGTCTATGTAGGTCTGTATACGTTTAATGAATTAATTATAGATGACATCACTGCTGCTATTTTTGAAGAAAAATTAATGGGCTAGCTACATTTAACATTTTATCAGACGCAATGCGAAATTAGGTACTTTTTGCTATATGGCTACTTAAATTCTGTCAATGAATTCAACGGTATGACGTTGTAAACAAGGGAATTTACATCACTGCGTCAATATTTTGAGTCATGTATTGCGTCATTTATTCATATGCTGGAAATGATGATTAGAGTTTTTTATGTAATTTATCTGCACATGTTTGCCCGTATGTACACTGAAATTTTACACAGACACACAAGCACACCGGAAACAGCTTTTCACCTCCTCCATCAGCTGACTGGTCACATAGTACTGGAAATGAATCCGAACCACGGTTGGTAATGTAGTAAACCCCAGTCACATTCAAAACGTCCGAACAGTCATCAAATGCTGGCTAATGAAATCAGAATGTCATCAGTTGTAGGCCAAAGGAAAAAAAAAACACACATCATATTTAACGTTCAAGTCAAAAAAACGCACATCATATTTAACGTTCAAGTCAATAAGGACCTTTAACCCTATTCAGACTGGGCTTTTTGGTCAATCTGTGACTGGGGGGGCTCCTCGGACCCCCGCCCTGTATCTCTGGAACCAATAATGCTAGGGTCATGAAATTTACACACAATGATCATCTCCGTACAAAGAAGCCTCACCCCCAGTTTTGACTTGCCACGCCCAATGATGACGTCACAGTGACGTCATATTCCGATTTTTCAATGTTTCTTATTATTTTTCCACTTAGATACGTAAAATATCAATAATATTGGTAAAGTCATCTCTTTGTTATCCTTTCTTATGAACTAGTAACAAGAAAACACTTGTACAGCGAGAAAAAGCAATAGGAAGCAATAAAATTTAAAATTTGAAATGGTTGTCCGCCATCTTGGATCCGCCATCTTGGATTTCCGTTTTTTTGTTGAAATTATAATTTAAAGCAACTTTCAAAGGGGAAAAAGCTCAGAATGTATAAAAGAAGTATCAAACTAATGTTTATTACCCAAACAAATGACTTTGGAAGTGTTATTTGGAAAATAATTAATTTGGTAATTATACCAAAATATTTCTAGATAAATTTTAGGAAAAGTCAGAAAATTTGAACGTCATAGCTCTTTCGGTGTAGGAGTTATCACGATTTTGCCAGGGGGGGTTTGAAAACCCCCCCCCCCAATCTGAATAGGGTTAATAAGTGCAACCATAGCTTCCAGTTTATCAAGGAAACAGCTGGACTTTCAAATCAAACCTATTGACCCCAGTTAACTGGCAAGGGGACCGTATAAAGTATTTTTTAAAATTTTTGAAGCGGGCTTCAAAATTAGAAAAATAATGATAAAAAAAATGATCGTTTTTCCTGATCATTTTCTGTTTTTCTATTTTCTCTTAACCTGAGATAAGGCTCAATTTTCGTTTCGCTTTGTAAATAACATTCCGGCGTGCAAGGCGAAACGGAAAGAGAGCCTGATACAAACCTTCTACGAAACGTTTGCCGCCCACTTTTTTGTTTGATTAAAATATGCTGAATCAGCCAACCAAAACTACTTCCGTTTCTTGTTTTTTTGAGGATGCAAATTTTTCGTAAGTGGGAAAACTGTGGACTAGCTAACTAAAAAAATTGCTTTTACCTTTTAATTTTTTCAACTAAAAATAAAATCGTCAGCACAATCACATTTAACTTCTTGCGAGATTGTAGGAGATCTCGAAGGTTTTTTCTTTTGGCGCAGAAGGTAAAACGTTTTCGAAAAGACGGCGACACGATGTTCTAGTTTTAATATTTTGGCTAGGCGCGGTCGAATTTAAAATGCTGAAATTTCTATTTTTCTGTTGCCTTTTTAATGTTCCCCGATTTTCATTACATATAAATTATCTCAGAACAAACCAAACGAGTTCTCAAGTGCATTTGATTCAGCTGATTTAGTCCCGTGAGTACACTTGCAATTTGCAAATTGAAATTGAAATTCATTCCTTGTCAATCGCGGACAGTCACGGTGGAACCATTTTTTGCCAGATGTTTTCTTATAATCACTTGCTAGGTCTTTTCGTTTTAATCTTGAGGCAGATTTTTTGTTCTCTAACGAGAAGTTCACATCTTCTGTGTTTCGGTCTTTGTATTCTCTGATCAGAGTTTGGACTGGTCCCGTACATAAGGTGTTTCTATATATTTTGAGTAAGAGTCATTTTCCCAAAAAAACTGCTAATCTATAAATATCTATATTAATCTGTTCGCCGTAGTAGTTGTAGTAATAGTAGTAGTCGTAGTAGCAGTAGCAGCAGCAGCAGCAGCAGCAGCAGCAGCAGCAGCAGCAGCAGCAGTAGCAGTAGCAGTAGCAGTAACAGTAGCAGCAGCAGCAGCAGCAGTAACAGTAGCAGCAGCAGCAGCAGTAGCAGTAGTAGTAGTAGTAGTAGTAGTAGTAGTAGTAGTAGTAGTAGTAGTAGTAGTAGTAGTAGTAGTAGTAGTAGTAGTAGTAGTAGTAGTAGTAGTAGTAGTAGTAGTAGTAGTAGTAGTAGTAGTAGTAGTAGTAGTAGTAGTAGTAATAGTAGTAGTAGTAGTAGTAGTAGTAGTAGTAGTAGTAGTAGTAGTAGTAGTAGTAGTAGTAGTAGTAGTAGTAGCTCCGATCCTTGCGTGTACTGCATTGGAGTGTACTTTTAAGTTTCCATTTTCCCTTTTTCTAGGAAGCACGGTGTGCATCATTTCTTTTTTTTTTTCTTCGCCAAATTTCAGTTTGCACTACTAAGTTTTAGCATTTTGCCCAATAGAGTGTTTTTTCCTTACTTAACGCAGTTAAATTTTTTAGGCAATTGTTTTGCTTTTCTATGATTGCATTCACTTGCTTGTCGTTCCTTCAGACCATCTGCCCCGTCGCATGGAAAATCGGTTTCTTAGCTGCTTTCATATCTAATTCACATTCTTCTCCATAGAAGCCAAGTAGACAACTACAGTGATATTCCTGGTCTCCAAAACCTGATTGGCATTTGGAATGTCCGGCGCAGGGGCTGCTTCCACAGGGATTCTGAAAAAAAAATTGATAGAGTTAGACAAAGGATCATTTTTTTGCGCTTCGAGCCTTTTCATCGGCGAATATAACTTATTTATTACGTCATCTCGTACCAATATTGGACGATATATAAACCCATATCTTGCCACCATCTCATTCGACGATGCTTGCGTATGGTCCTTGTCGTTCAGCTCACACAGAAATGTCCCATCACTCAGCGTACCATGGTTATAGGATACACAGCCTGGTTCGCGGTAACAGTTAATCTGGCAGACGTCCTTATCAACTCCGTAATAACGATGGGAGACGTGGTTGATTAACACTTCGTTCTTTCTTTCCTCTTTAAATTCAACTGTTCGACAGTTTTCGTCTACGAGAAACAAAACAGCCGAGGAGATTTCCCATTGATTGGGCTAGAAAGTTTTATGAATTAATCGACAAGCCTACAGCTACGGTGCAGAGTTATTCTAAGTTACTGCCTTTTGATTTAAGTCAGCATTATAACAATTATCCCACGCATGATTTAAAATAAAGATCGGAAGATTTGAACCAGGGGATTAAAAAAAAAGGTAACTAACATAGTTATATGGAAATCATGGCTGTTATTTTCAAGCGTATATTTTTAGCATTACGTAACTTAACACTGAATAGTTCTAGCCTAGACTAATTCTAGAAATCCTAAACCGACCATCTTTTTACTGCTTGATTTTTGCCTTCTAATCGTTTTAATTTTTTCCTTCATTTGTTAAAAATGTAACTTTCTGACCCTGTATAATCATGATATGTAAGAATTAATCTGTTTTCGATTTCCGGCAGAAAATTAATTTGCAGCTTTTCTCAATCGAATTTAACACCTACCTCCCTTTATAAAAAATGTTATACCAGTAAATGCAAGAATAGCCCATTGTGGGGAAAACATGCCAACTCTTGTCATACCGGTATCAAAAAAACAAAAAAAAATACCAGCATAACTACTTATACCACATCTTCTTATAGGGCACTCTGTATACTTTGACACTCAAAGGGGTAACGATACTACTTTGTATGAATTAACAGCAGGCATTTTCCCCCTGTAGTTAGGAAATTCATCCGTTTTTCAAAACAGACTAATTTTCCATTTTCCATTGTTTTTAAGTCACTTTGACCAATACCAATACCTCCTGTACAAATTAGCTGTCGATTGGGTCCAATCTAATGCACTGCGTAGTTTTCACTCCTCCTATACACCACGGAAAACTTACAAAATAAAGGAACAGATGCGAAGTTTGTAGCTTTTTTCTAGGACCAAACCGTCGTCGTTTTACGGCAGCTACAACCAGTTGCAAAAGTACTTGAGACACTGTACCGTATTTTGGCATAAATGGCCTGTCCATGATCTTGTGCTTGTGATCCCCCTTCCACCCCTTATCAAAGTTGCTAGGAATACAAGACCATACTCAAAACTTGGAGGAACAACTTTGAATGGGAGGGAGGAGGGAGGTCAGTATTATATTTTACAGAGCTGTGACCAGGAGCGATTTGAAGCAAGAAAGGTCGTTTTCCCGTGGGAGTGTCTCATCATTTTTGCAAGTGGTTGTCTGAGTCCTTCATACCCCTATAGCCGTGGTGCACGATTATTAAACGGGGTAAAACGTGGTGCATTCTTAGCACCTAAGGAGGTGGTTATAAAAAATAGTATTTCATTTTTGTCGGTTTGCCTGTTTAAAAATGGCGAGACAAAAACGGCAGTTGTTGGCCCGTTTGTTTATGTGGTAATATGTAAGAACTTGGGCTTCTAAAGGAAGAACGTGGCAAAAGATGCCACACCATCTTAAGTAAGCTGCAACGAAAGGGGTTTTTGGTCCTAAAACGCTACAAAGATGCGAAAAATAATATATTTCCTTCGAACTCGGTTAAAAGATGTTTATTTATGGAAGGAAAGTGACGTAAGATGCCCCGCTAGATCAGGGAGATAGCTTTTTGTTGTTGTTTCCGATAAGTCGTGGACGTAGTTCCTCTTTTATCGCCTGCCATTTACAGGAAAGAAAAGTTACGCTAAAAAGCAGCTGTTGGCGACCTTACTTTACTTAACACAAGTTTGGGTTTGTGTTTACTCTTTCGTAGTCTTACAACTTTGTTTCGATTTTGAAGCCCGAGTGTGGCTATAGGCATCAGATAATGAAAATTCACGTGCGTATTTCAGTAACATAGTCGCGAGAGCTCGCATATAACGTGGCTTTGTAGTTCTGTACTTGGTAAGGAAATTTATTTCTTTGCAAAAAGGAAGACACTATCCCCAAGAAAAGCAATTTTCCAGCACAGCAATGTCAGGAATTTACGTGCTTCAACGGTCTACACGGTCTACACGGTCTACCATCATATGAGATAAATACAATAATATATTCTATTTCTTACTGTTGCAGAATGGTAGACCGTGGTGATGGTAGACCGTCAGGAAATAGAAATTAACATAGCACACAACTTTTTCTGCTCTCTAGCTCTAACGGACTTTAATAACCACCTTATTTTCACCGTAGTAGATGAAAAAAACTGAACGGTTTTACTTTAACAGCGATGTTGAAAAATAAGTCACGCGGTATACCGATTACATAACGCCATTGCATATCAAATGTCATTGCGTTACAGATACAGGGGTGAAAAAGAAGGTTTGGCAGCTTTATTCGCAACTATAGTATCGCTAAATACCAAGAAAAGGAAAATTATGCTTTTATTATGCATTCGCGCTTCTCAGAGTTTAATTACAACGCCGAAACTTTAAGCTGTGTGACGGTAGATAATGGCGCATGCGTTACAACAAAAGTGAGGCAAAATTTACTAGTCACTACATTCTTAAGCGCTTTTTTAGGCAGTTTGATATCAATGACAATGATGTATTGGCTGGGAAAAGCAACACAAAGTGTCATTCTATTTATTTATGTCGCTATAGTCTTCGTTTTGGGAATTTAAGACGTGGAAATCGCTTGTTGAAGTAAACCTTAAATGAGACAACCAGTTGCAAAAGTACTTGAGACACTGTACCGTATTTTGGCATAAATGGCCTGTCCATGATCTTGTGCTCGTGATCCCCCTTCCACCCCTTATCAAAGTTGCTAGGAATACAAGACCATACTCAAAACTTGGAGGAACAACTTTGAATGGGAGGGAGGAGGGAGGTCAGTATTATATTTTACAGAGCTGTGACCAGGAGCGATTTGAAGCAAGAAAGGTCGTTTTCCCGTGGGAGTGTCTCATCATTTTTGCAAGTGGTTGTAGCGCTGTTAGAGCGAAGCGTGACTGAAAGTTTACAATACACTCAGGTGTGTGTTACAATCAAAACTTCGAGGAAGAAGAAAAATAAGGCGCTTCCGAAAGTATTGCCGGTTTTATCCAATTATCTCCCATCGAGCAATATCAACTTTTTTTTTTTTTAATCGAAATACGTAGTAAACTAAACACCTCCAGTATTATTATTATTATTGTTATTATTATTATTATCATTACAAAGGACTAATCATGAAGTGAACAAGGGAGGATCATAAATTTATGCACGCATGCTAAGGTGGCTTATCATTCAAAGATATTCTCTTTTATAACAAAAATAGAATTTGAAACAGTATTAGTCTAGAAAAAGTAATATCTTAAACCTTTAAGGCAACTATTTACACACAAATTATCTTTCAGTTCATTACACTCTTGGCTCCTAGTTTTGTTGAATCATTTTTCCTCATCTCGCTTGGCACCCCACCCTTCAAGCCCCTCTCAAATAATTGTAGGGACCTCAGAATAAGTAATAGTTTAATCATCGTATTAATCATAGTCAATGACGACATTTTTGGCTTTTTTCTTTAAAGAGCCTGATTTTATCTAATCAGACAAGCAATGACTAACCTTCCTTTGGCGGTTATTTACCTATAGGAAAAAATATGTTAGAATATGCAAAGTCAGACAATTTGTTTTTGGATTATTATTATTATTATTATTATTATTATTATTATTATTATTATTATTATTATTATTATTATTATTATTATTATTATTATTATTACTATTATGATTATGATTGAGTTGACTTAAGTTGACTCTCAGTTTATCTGCCGCGTTTTGAGTTTTCTGATGGCATTCTGACCTTGAAATTAGATATCATACAATCCACAATCCACATGCAGGCCAGTTGTAGGAATTATTTTTCCTGGTTTGTTTTAGCACCGACGACCACGGGGTTCCTTTGTATGAGCGTTTGTCCATGATTTCTTTTGAGTGTATTTTACAACTAAGGGTGCGTTTCTTTAAAAAAATCCAAATCCGGATTCTTGAATCCAAAAACGGATTTTGCGTTTCTTTAATAAAATCCGAAAATGGATTTTGAATCTATAGAATCCACACTCCGAGTGGATTCATTAGATCAAATCTAAATCCGGATTTTTAGGATTCATGATCCGTGCGTTTCTTTATTGCACGGATACAAAAAGCAGTACGTTTGGCAAGCGGTCGTCTTCTTAAAATCCGCCACATTCCCGCCATTTTGTTGTAAATATTAGCTGCTGCCGGCCATGGCGAATAAACAAGGTGAGTTTTTTGCGTAGTTTCACCGAAATTTTCCGTCCTGTACGTATTTTTATAAATTTTCCGGATGTTTGATGCGTCTTGGCATCTTTTATTTCTATCTACAGGACAATATTGGACGCACAGTTTATCTGCAGGTGAATATCCAGAATATCAGTGGAACGAAAGCCACGTTCAACCGGGCATTCAACCTTATCTTCCTCAGTTCATGTTTCCACCACCGCAGGCATCACAGTTCAGCCATGAAACAGTCAGATCAGTATCACCTCAGCCTGGTCCAAGTTTTTCTTCTTTGGAAACAGCTGCAGCCACGTTCAGTCAGTCGAGTGAAGGCACCGAAGGCGAATCGAGAGCTCTTGTACGCTGGTCTAGAGCTGATGTGCTGTTGTTAATTTCCTGCTATGTCGAACGCAGAGAGCGATTTAAAGATATAAACAAAAAGAACAAGTCCCTGTGGGAAGAAATCAGCGAAGAATTAAAGAAGAACGGAGTGTTCTTTAATGCCAAGGCGTGTGAGACGAAATTGAAAAATCTGAAGAGAAGTTAGCGGAAATGACCGAAAGAAATGCAACTTCTATGACGAACTTCACGAAATATTTTCGAAAGATGA